CACAAGAATGAATAATTTTTGTTCGTTTACTTTTTAAAATGAATTGATCATTAATAAAAAGAGTATTTTTTAAAATTTCATTAAGATTTACAAAAATATTTTCATCTCCTAACATATCAAGTAATTCACCGAAGAACAGATTTGTAGTTTTATTAGAATAAATATGTTTTAAAAATTGACTTAAAATTGAATTTTCGTAAATATTCAATTTAAAAATTTCTTGAACTTTTTTCGGAATCCAAAACCAACTTTCCCAATGATTTTCTTCTTCTTCAGGATTATAAATAAATAAAATCGATTTATTATTATTTACACACTGATTTGTTTTCCATTTTTCCATTTCTTTATTATAATATGAAATATTTTCAGGTTTTTTAACTATAAAATATTCTACATCATCTTCTTGTGTTGATAATAAAGCAGTTTCAGACTCTAGAATTTGTTTCAATTGAATAATTAAATCTTTTCTTAAATTAAATTCATTTAATTTATTTTGAAAATTTTCTCCACTTATATTTCTTAATATATTTATATAATATTCAGCTTGATCTATACAACCAATTTCTAAATTACATTCAATTATTTCTGTTAAAAGTTTCAGTACAACTGAAGTTACCGTATTTGAAGATTCTTGTTCATCTTCTTCTTTTATATTACGAGCGTATAAGACCTTCTTTTCTAAATTCTGTTCAAGTTGTTTTCTTTTTCTTATCAATTTATGATATTTTACATTAATAGACACACGACCACGTTTTAGTTGTGCTTGTTGAGTGATAGTTTCTATTAGTTTCGCATATTCTTCAGTTTTCTTAACTAATCCACTTTTATCATTGTATACTAAATTCTGAAGATTATTTAGAATTCGATTCGATACATATTTTAAATTTAGTCCATCTTTAACCCAAAGACCATTTTCTACAAAATAACTTCTATATTCATAAGTACAATTTTTTTTGCAAGTAAGTACAACTGCATTTCCAGGAATGTTAGGTAAATTATTTTGTTGAATATTCGATTTTATATAAAGATCACAAGCTGAATCTAAAAGATATTTTGCATCTTTTATAATATTAATTCTATCAGTTATTTCTTGTTTTTTAGTAAATTGTTGAATACATTTTTCTAAACATATTTTAACTGATAATAGATTATTTTTAACTAAACTTTGATTATAATATTTATAATTTGCATATGCAATATCATAATAAAGTTTAGCAAGTTTATCTTTATATCCTAATATTTGTCCATCTCTTAAACAATTTCGAAATATATGACAATTTTCATTTATTCCTTCTGATAAAACTAAAACTTGCTCTTTTATTGCAGCAAGTCGAATTTTTTCTTCAGTATTAAATTCATCATTTTCTTCAAAAATTTCTTCTCTAGAATTTATCATATTTTACTTTTTCTTCTATTTTTCAAACTATCTTATTAAAAATATTAAAATCCTACCTGAATCCTATCTTCTTATAATTTTGTAATAATATATATTCAGCTTCATAGGAAATTCAATTGTATCACACATTGTTTAAATTTCGCAATATATAACACGTTAATACGACGTATATAATATAAGTAATATAGATGAGTTAAAGTTTAAAATTCTTCCTCAGAATCCAGCGTTTAAATAAAACCGATACATCACTAATAAAAAGCAAAACCTTTTTTTATAAAAAAAAGGAATGTTTGAATGTAAATCGAAAAGTCTTACGTTTGATTTTGCAATAAAATATAATATGTAATAATTATAGCTTAATAAAGAAATTACACTTACTGATGAAATTTCGAAATTTCGACATAAAAGAAAATACTTAGAAAATTTACAGAGACAAAGGATATTTTCTTTCTCTCATAATAAATGCAAAGGAATAAGTCCGCAGTGGAATGCTATTGTCAAGAAGTGGGTCCAACCCAGAACGGGAAAGAACTTTTTCCGACAAGAAAAGAAACCAGTCGTTAATTCTGTACAAACTATAAGTAGCACTACCACTAGTCATATCACAACATATAGATATTAGTATAAAAGCTATAGTTTACGCGAACAGAAGAGGAAAAATTATAAAGAATGACTTAATAATATGTCTGTCGGTGTACAATTCTCTTTTGAATATCATACCTGGCTTAGTCTGTCCTTCTATGTCGAGAGAAAGAAAATAACCTTTGTGTCTGTAAATTTTCTAAGTATTTTCTTGTATGTCGCTTCTTATCCTTGCATTTTCGTACGAATAAGTATGTGTGGGAGAGAGAGAGATTAACAGATATTGTAAAAGGAAAAAGGAAAATAAACTATAAATAAACGTGCAATACGAAAAAATTTAAGCAGTCAATCTATATTTTAAATCTGCACAAGTTATATGGAATACAAATTTAACTATATTCATCAAGTCGCACAAACAGAAAAATATGTTTAGAAAATGAGTTTATCGGTATTGCTGGAGATTTTAAAAAGTAAAGCTGAAGTAGATTGGGAAGCTGTCAGAGATTTTTGAGAATAATAT